AGAACGACCACCTGGGGTCCACAGCTAGCAAATTGCAGAGCCAGGGTTCGAACCCGGAGGCGGAGGCTTCAGTGGAGATGTAAATGGAATGGGGCCTCGCTAAGTGGGTCGCCCAGCACTGGAAGTGAGGTCTCCTCTTCCCCCATTAGTATCCTCCCATGGACCCTTTTCCCCAGCTTCCTCACCAGGTAGGCAGTAACCTGGTGTCCCAGTTACCTCCTTACCTGGTGGGTCTCTTATTTTCCATGGCTCCTGCCACCATGGAAGCTGGAGGTTCTGCAAGGCTGTACGTCAGTACGGTTTCTACAGGTGCAGAGGGCTAGCTGTAAAGACAGCGGACAGAATCCACATTCTGCACTTCCAGCTATTGTAGCTGCACAGCCTTGGGGTGTGCACACACACACAATGCTTCCTGATTCTTACCATTCCCAGGGGCCCCTCTCATATTTGTTAGCTGAAATTTAAAGCTTAGGAAGGCATTTTAATAAATTGCTTTTGAAACCAAAGTAAACATCGGGATAATTTTTTGCACAAAAATAACCACACTCAAGGGGATCAAAAACTCACATGAAAATTAATTAATTTCGCTTTCCAAGGCCATCTGGGCCCTCCGTGCCAGTCTTTCGGGATAACTGGTGCAGCACCCGGTGCCCAGCGGGAGCTGGAAATCACCAGTCAGACCTCTCACGGACGGCATGGCCAAAGTTAACTTAGCAAATTGAGGGCACTGCGAAGCTCATTAAATAGGCAACGACAGTTGAAGCAACGAGAATTGCTGCTCCTGACCACGCTCATCCTCCTGCAGCCTGCAGGGAGGTAGCCTCGGGGCTCGCTGACCCTATGCCAGGAAGCTCTACCCTCAGGACAGGGTGCCAGAGGGCAAGTCACTGGCTTCCCTGGGCCTCTGAGTTTCCTAATCAGATTTGCTGTTTTTAAAAATTACTCTAAATGTCAAGTGGAGGACAGACTGGAAAGTGGCAGGGCCAGGCCCGTGGGACCAGTTAGGAGGCGGCGGCTCAAGTCAGGCTGAATCCAGACAGGGGCCTGGCCGAGGTTAGCATGGTGGATGCGAGATATGGGGCTCAAGGACAGAAGGCCTGGCAAGTTATTGTTGACTTGGATTTTTCTTTCCTCTCTTTTCACACAGTGTATTATGTGGTTACAATGGTGTGTTTGAAGAGGAGCAGGAATTAAATACAGTTAGGGTTTTGGGATTTTTTTAAGGCATGGAGGATGCTACCAGGCTGAAGAGTCAGGAGGTCTGGTCTTCCCACTGCCGCTAAATGCTGAGCTGTAGCACAAATTCTTGAAACAGGGGTGGGTGTGGTGGCACACACCTATAATCCCAGCACTCTGGGAGGCTGAGGCAGGTAGATCACCCGAGGTCAGGAGTTCAAGACCAGCCTGGCCAACATGGTGAAACCCCGTCTCTACTAACAATACAAAAATTAGCTGGGTTGGTGGCACATGCCTATAATCCTAGCTACTCGGGAGGCTGAGGCACAAGAACCCGGGAGGCAGAGGTTGCAGTGAGCCAAGATTGCACCGCTGCACTCCAGCCTGGGTGACAGAGTGAGACTCTGTCTCAAAAACAAACAAAACAAAAAATAAGAGTTTACATGAGTGTAGATGAGACAGGACTGGCCAGGTATCAGGCTGGAGGACAGGCACACAGACTGTGCCGTGTGATTCTGTCCACCCTGCACTGTGTGAGGTATTCCATTTTGGAAGAAAGGGGGTGAAGAGCATGGCTGTGGAGCACTTCTTGGTTTTCAGGTCACAGAGTCGCACCCATTTCCTACTTACTGACTCACGTGAAACCACAGTGTTGGCTGGCTTTGAAAAATATTTGATTTTTTTTCAGTCCTGGTTCACCCATTCCCTTCTAAAAACCACCTACCATACCGATACATTCAGTTCCACTCAACAAATGTTTATTGAGCATCTACTATGTGCTGGGACCATGCTAAGCATCCAAGGTGCGTCAGTGAAGAAAACACAGAAAGACCCGCGGCCCACACAAAGGTTACATTCAAGTCGGTTGAAACATAAACCATAAAATATAGATATGTTATAATAAATAGATATTATACGCTTTGTTAGAAATTGGTAAGTGCAAGGAAAACAATATAAGGTATGGGGCATGGGAGTGAGGTGAGTTGCATTTTCCTACAGGGAGGTCAGCGTAGGCCTCACTGAGAAGGTGACATTGACCAGATGTCAACCAGGCAAAGGAGCAAGGCATGAGAGCACCTGCGGAAAGGGCACTTCCGGCAGAAAGGACAGTCAGCGCCAAGGCCGACGGGCATGGGCAGATAAGGGTAAGGGGGCCGCTGTGGCTGGAACAGACTGCTGTTCAGAAACAACAGGCCAGAGTGAGCGAGCAAAGGGACGCGATTAGGGAATCACAGGCAGACAATGGTATGAAGCATGTGGCTTTTATCCTTAATATCCCTGGCGATGGGAAACCACAGTTTTGAGCAGAGAAGTGAGATTTTCAAAGGATCACTCTGGATGCTGCTGGGAAGAGACTAAAGGATGCAGTGATGGAAGCCTGGAGAGGGTCTGGAGGTGGCTGCACGAATGCAGGTGAGAGGCGACGCAGGCTTGGACAAGGGTGGTCACAGTGGAGGGGCGGGAGGCAGCTGGCTCCTGGAGATAATTTGAAGGTAGTTCCCACAGTCTTTCCTGATGCACCAGATGGGAGAGGAGTCAGAATGGCTCCAGGGCTTCCCACTTGAGCTGCAGGAAGATGGAGTGGCCGTTACCTGAGACGGGAATGGCTGCAGATGGGGTGGGTGTGGGGCAGTTAATCAGAAGGTCAGTGTTGGATTTGTTCACTATGGGAAATCAGGTAGGCAGTGGATTGAAGAGCAAGAAAGAGTTCTACACGGGAGATAAATGGAAACATCATCAACATATTTAAAGCCATGAGACAGGGTGGGCCCCTTGGAGGACTGGGTATAACCAGGGAAGAAAGGGGGCACCAGGCAGAGCCCAGGAACCTCCAGCATGGCATGGTCAGAGCAAAGAGAAGGAGCAAGCAGAGGAGATGGAAAAGCTGAGCAGCAAGGAGGAGGGAGACCAAGAGCACCCGGCATCCTGGAAGCTGGTGATGAGGACTCGCCATGTCAAGCAGGATGAGGACGAGTACTGCCCACAGGACCCAGCCACAGGAGGTCGTGGGTGCCCTGAGAAGGGCCATCTGGGTGGAGTGAGGGTGCAAAAGTCTGATGAGACGGCATTTGGGAAAGAAGAGAAGGATTAGGATGAGGCAACAGACAAGTAAAACTCTCGTGCGGGGTTCCACCAGAAACGCAACAGGATGGGGCAGTGGGAGGGGAAGAGGGTCAGGGAAGGGGTTGGGGAAGGTGGTGGTCGTTTCTGGTTGGGTGGGAAATGGCAGTGTGTCTGTGCGCTTATGGGATGATCCAGCAGGTGGCAGGACGAGAGTGAGCTGCATCAGGAGTTGTGGAAGAAGAGCTGGAGTCAGTCCAATAGCAGGGGTTCTGGCGCCACGGGGGCCAAGTGGCTCCTGCCACAGTCACAGGAGAAGGCAGAGTACAGGGGTCTGGGGGCTGGGGGATAGGTGTGTGTGGTTGGGGGAGTCTGAGGAGGCGCCCCAGAGAGGCAGTGGGAGCAGCCAATGAAATGAACTCCCGCAGTTCGTCAGCAGGTGGCTGGGGAGGCCACAGGGCAGCTTAGGGTCACCCCGTCTCTACCACTTTTCACCTATGTAACCTCGAATGAGTTTTTCGCCCTCTCTCTGCCTCAGTTTCCTAATCTGTAAACCTGAGCAACTGGGGGTCCCTGCCCCCGGAAAACTCATTGACAGCATGTAGATGAGGCAATACCTACGCAGCCCCTAGCTCAGCATCTGCCCATCAGAATCCTTCCTCTCTGGGTGCCTGCGGTGAAGCCCCGGCCCGGCCAACCTGGGCCTCTCCAGTACCATTCTGGAGCTAGCACTGGGTGTTCCTGGGGAAGCACCGCTTGGCCTCCTCATTCATGCTTTCACGTCGTTCCTCACTCTCACATCCAGACAGACAGCACCATGAAATCCATGCTGAGCTGGAACCCGCCTTCTGCAACACACTAGCTGGGAAGGTCCTGGCAAGTTGTTAGGTCTCTCTGGGCCTCGTTTGCATCTCACATAAAAGAGGAGGCAGGACTGAACGAGCTCTAAGGTTCCTTCAAGTTCTAGATTCATGTAATAATGTCTTCCTCAAGAAAAAGAATTAGTCATTGTGTAAAGAAATACACACCTGTAATCCCAACTACACACTGGCTGAGGCAGGAGGCTTGTTTGAGGCTCGTTGAGTTCAAGGCTGTAGTGAGATCAGGCCACTACACTCCAGCCTGGGTGACAGGGTGAGACCCTATCAGAAAAAAAGAAAAGAAAAGAAGAGGGGAGGGGACAGGAGGGGAGGGGAAACAATGGGGAAAACAATGGGTCTCAGAGAAAATCCTTTAAGAACACACAGAAGCAGTAGAGAGAGCCCACACCTGTCCTCATTTGTCCCTGGAGCTGTGGGACGATGCTGTGAAGACCAGACCCAAAGCCAGTCACACAGAGGCAGCAGCTGGACAGGCCTCGCCGACTGAGACCAGTGGCCACACAGACACACACCTGACAAGACAGACCATGAAACACAGACCCAGGCCTACTGCCTGGTCTTCTTCGGCAGACGACTTCTCCCTCAAAGCACAGTCATCTTCAGAATGAGAGGCAGCCCATCCTATGGAACCGAGGGGCGTGGCTCTTAAATTTGGGCTTCAAAAGACAAGCTCAGTCCCTGATTTTTTCCACCTGAGAAGGAGGCTTTTCTGAACATGACCCAGTGCGTTCAGAGCGGCCAGGATGAGGAAACACGTCTACAAAGCAGCAGCATAATCCAGACACAAGAAATGGTATGCAAAATAGGATATCAGACGGACTTTTGCAACTGAACATGGTCAAAACCATTTTGCAGCAAGTAACTTTTCCTGAGTTCAAGTAGGAGTTGAGTCCAACATTTATATGTGACACAGCCATGTGAGGCCTCTTCTCTGAGTACAAAGTAAAGTCTGGTAAAGTAAAAAAAAAAAAAAAAAAATCATTTCTATAATTAGGAGCAAGATTACTTTGCATGTCACATGACCGTGGCTGAATGGGCAAAACCTCTTACAAAGAAGTGCCTTGGTTTCACACAACCCTGCAAAACAGGCTCGCACAAACCTCTGGGTGGGAGGTAGCGGAATAAACTGAAGGCTAAACACCAAACCACGAAGTTCAGTTGTTACTCGGCCAAATGAGAAATTCAGTGAAGATGAGCTTGGCTCAGGCTTGGGAAGTGGACGCAGGCCCACCCCTGCCTCACCAGGGCCCACTTTGGGGCTCTGTGTCCGAAAGGTCCTTGAGAGCATCTTGACTTGACTCCAGCTGAATTCCCAGAAAGCTCCCAGAATCCCGCATGAAACACATCCCAGTTCAACTGTCCTTTGGTTTGAACTGAGAGCCCTAAAGTGCTCCTGGGGCAGTGGCTGGTCCCCATTGATCGAAAACAAGGGACAGTTGGGGTGAAGAAACGAGAGAGCAGCAGATGGCTCAGAAGTGACATGCTGCTCACCAGTGAGGTCAGCAGTGTGGGCAGCCTGTACAGCAGGTCAGACCGCAGTGGTTTCTGAGCCTAATTTATACATTTATAAGAACTCTGTCCAGAGCTGGCCGTTCCTCAGCATGTGAGCTGCATCCACGGCGAGGACATTTCCTGGGATGAAACTTGGGTTGTGTTGAGTACCGAGCCAGTAACATGGACTCGGTCCCAGCTACGTCCAGCCCCGTGAATGAAGGAGCTGCGGTGAATTTGGTCATCCCAGGCTTAGCTCTAAAAAGCACAAGGATTGGGAGCTGAGGTGGAGGGGACTCTGGATAGGGACGGAAGGATGCCGGCTTGGAGACCTCATCATCACTGTCCCCTCCTAAGGGAGGCAGCACACGGGAGTGATTCAAGTCAGGGGCTGCCCACCAGATTCTGAAAGTGCTCGATTTTCATTCCTGCTCCTATGTCTACTGGCTGTGAGCCTTGGGACAAGTTCCTGTACCTCTCGCAGCTGCTGTTTCCTTACCTGTAAAATTGAGATGGTAACACCCACCGTGTCATAGGATACTAACCCCTGAAATGCGAAAATCCAGGTGTATGTCGAACACTTAGTATAGAGACTGTGTGTGCCCAAGAGACAGGGTGCCTATTATTGCCTGGAGCACTAAGTGGGAACTAATCAGTGGCTTCACGGACACCGACATTCTGGCGTGGATTTCAGCACTAAAGAACGGCATCCTCTGTCCCACCCCCTCTTCCAAAATCTTGTAAACACTATCCCCACAGGTTATCTGAAACTTGTCCGGATGTGCCTCTGGGCTCCTCTCAGACAGGCGGACAATCTTTCTCCTGGGAATTCTCTAGAGCCTGCCAGTAGTCCAGGAGAGCCTGGGGCTTGACGAAGTGGCAGGCCACGATCCTCCTGAAGCGGCACACAGAGAAGTGTAAGCCCTCTGGGAAAAAGGTCTGCTGGGAGTGGAGCTCCTCCAATCTGATGTTCAGCCGTTCGAGGCAGAGCCCTACAAACACGTCTTCCAGTTTAATGTATGGGACGCTGCTGGAGACATTGTACACCTGACTCGCCACGTCGCCAGAAAATGCATAGGCAGTGCCAGAGCAGAATGGTGGGTACCTGTCCCACGGATATTCAGATTTGCTGACAAACCACTTATTGAATGGTTGCCTGATGGGAAACTCATTGAGTTTCAAGAAGCCAGTGAAAAACCTGGTTGTTCTGTTTTTCTTCAGAAGCAGTTCGGTCAGATAGTCAACATTGATGAACATGTCTGAGTCTGTTTTCATCACAAATGCTGCCTGAGGACAAAAGCGATGGACCCATTCCATGCCCATCATGGTCTTCAGGGTCAAATTGTAATAGACGTCTAGGAAATCCTTCTGGATAATGTCCTTGTATCGCTGGCTCTCCTGGTCCACCTCTTTTGTTTCTGCCGCACTGCTGGTGGTCCCCAGGAGGAAGAACATCTTCAGCTGCTTTCCCTTCACCATTCTCTCTTTCCCCCACGTCTGCCGGATGGCCATGCGCTCAGCCAACTGTTTGTGGGATGAGGTCACTAGCAGGACAAGGAAGGGGGGTGTCTGACTGCAGTTTGTATCTGGGAGCTTAAGGAAGTGCCCGTCGTCTTTCTTGTAAGGAAAGGACTGTTCTTTGAAAGGATTCAGATTGTACATGCTAAAATACCAACAAAGAGCCCCCAGAACCAGAAGGCAAATATATATCAATCTCATCTTCGGGCGAGCCATCTGAAAGGAACAAAATCCAATGATTAGACCTCAAAAGCATGAGGATGTGTCCAGTTTCATGCTAGAAGGCTGAGGTGGGAGAAGGGACCCGTGTTTTGGAAACTCTAGAACCTCGCTGAATACAGAAGTCGGGTGCTGCATGGTTAAACAGTAAACCACAGAGGTCTGACATCTGCCAGCATCTGTCACTTCATGGTGTAAGATAAAAAGCTCAGAGATTCTGGGCATTGGTCCCGGCTCTGCAGCCCTAAACCTATGGGAGTCACCGATTGCCTGTCTGTAGGGAAATGGGACGAGGCCCCTCACTCACTCCCCCCCAGCTCTGCCGTTCTCTGACTCCATGATGAAGCGCAGCAAAACAAGCTGCGGGTCTGGAAACCACGCTTGCATTCTTCTCTGATCTAATTAAGCAGCATTCCTGCTCCCCAAAAAAAGCAAGTCCAGTGTGCTGATGTGCACAAGTACCTTCAAATTCCGTTTCTGCCAGAAGTATTATTATTTTTTTTTACGTTACTTTTTACAGTCTCTGATCTGATTCTCTCCTCTTCTGCCCACCCGTCTCTGCTATCCTCGGCAAGTTCAGGATCATCCGTGGTAATGTTATAACATTAAGAAAGCGTATAACTCACTTTTTGCTGGGTAAGAGGACCCTCCGGTTTGAAAGCTAAAGCCACAGTGTAAATGCCAGGAGGAAATTTGTTTCAAAGAACTGTCAGTGTAGAGTGCTTCACAATTATCAGGTTCTGGGCTTGGTTTGTTTACCAAAAATGATGATTCTGTCAGGAATCACTAGGAACAAAAAAAAAAAAAAAAGAGTGTCGTTCAAATCAATCGCGCCTTACCAGCAGGCCTTCACAATTTGCCGTGTCTGTAGTGTCACCTTCCAACCTACTTATGTGACTCTGAGCACGCATTTGAGCCCCCATCCCAGCCTCACTTTTCTCATGGGTATGATCAAGGCAAACAAAGTCCACAACAGTAACAATATGCCAATCCCCTAGAATCCTTCAAGCCTAGAAAGTTAAGAGAGGACCTAGCAGCTTTTTTTTTTCTTTTATTTATTTATTTATTTTTTTTTTTTGAGACGGAGTCTCGCTCTGTCACCCAGGCTGGAGTGCAGGGGCACGATCTCGGCTCACTGCAAGCTCCGCCTCCCGGGTTTACGCCATTCTCCCGCCTCAGCCTCCCGAGTAGCTGGGACTACAGGTGCCCGCCACCTTGCCCGGCTAGTTTTTTTGTATTTTTAGTAGAGACGGGGTTTCACCGTGTTAGCCAGGATGGTCTCGATCTCCTGACCTTGTGATCCGCCCGTCTCGGCCTCCCAAAGTGCTGGGATTACAGGCTTGAGCCACCGCGCCCGGCCACCCTAGCAGCTTTTTAAAGAGACACAGTAAACTCATAAATTAGAGTCTCACTTCTCATCCTGATAATTTACCTTATTTACATAACAGAGTCTGTAGGTAATGCTGAGAGAATTTAACACAGATAATAAATCCATTTCTTAACACAATAGCGGCACTTTAAAAATGTCATCCTGGGTGAGAGGACAGAAAGGACAGCAAGAGATGAAAGTGAAAGAGTGAAAAGCGGAGTTGGTTTGGGCTTTTAAATTTTATTTCAGAGACCAGATGTCACTCTGTCTCCCAGGCTGGAGCACAGTAGCACAATCATAGCTCACTACAGCCTTGAACTCCTGGGCTCAAGCAATCCTCCTGCCTCAGCCTCCCAAGTAGCTGTGACCACAGGCGCACGCCGCCACACTCTTCTAATTTTGTATTTTTTGTAGACATGGGGTCTCACTATGTTGCCCAGGCTAGTCTCAAACTCCTGGGCTCACACAGTCCCCTGCCTCGGCCTCCCAAAGCACTGGGATTACAAGGGCAAGCCACTGTGCCCAGCCAAGAGCTGGTGATTTTGATGGCCAAAAGAGCACCTCAAAATTTCACTGTCAAAATTCTGTTCTAAATATATTCACCAAAAGCAACATGAAATAACAATGGAGCTTTCTAGAACCAGCTCGCTCTCCAGAGACTTCTTTCCTGGAGGCAAACTACCTGCTCTGCTTGGCACCCCTGGGGAGTTCCTGGTCAGTTCCTGCCCCCAGCAACTTCAGAGAAATCACAGCAGAAGGCAAGGAGGAGACCAGAACTTGTCTGAACTGGTGCTCTAGGTCGCTGCAAAGTTTCTTTCATTTCTTTCTTTCCTTCCTTCTTTCCTTCCTTTCTTTACTTTTCTCTTTCTTTCTTTCCTTCTCTTTCCTTCTCTTTCTCTCTTTCTGTCTTTCTTTCTTTCTTTTCTTTCTCTCTTTCTTTCTTTTCTTTGTTTCTTTCTCTCTTTCTTTCTTTCTGTCATTATTTATTTGCATAGCTAGGACATGTAGCTGATCAAGGGGATTGGGGGCCTGCTTTCTCCCCGACAATACATTTTACAGAGAAGCATAAAAACCAAGTGCAAGGGAAAGAAGATATTTTTCTACTTTGTTTCCTTGCTTGAATAATTCTGCTCTTTTTCTATGGGTTGCTTTAACAGTAAACCTTAAATTCTCATTCTCTCTGATGTGCCTTTTCTCAGGACCCTTCACAGGGATCTAAATTCCAGGGATGGGCGCTCACCTCATGCAGTGAATTGGCCAAACTGCTTCCCAGGAGGCAGAGCAGGTGCCAAACCCAACTGGCCAAAGCCCCTAGGGTCGCTTGTTTTCATGGGCAACTGAACATTTTTCCTGCCTAAAGTGGAGTTACCAAGAAACCACCACCAGAAGTCACAGCTCGGAATCCTCATACATGAGGCATCTGCATCTTTGGTTGAGTCTGTATTGTGCCTAAAGAGGACCGGGGGGCCAGCCTTCCACTGGAGGAGTCAGGGGTACCTGCAGCACCAGCAGACAGAGCCTGGAAAGGGCAGCCTGTGCCTCCAGATCCTAGCCACCCCAGGCCAGCTGGAAAGCAGAAGCTCTTTGCACAAACTAGCTCTGCCTTACCTGGGACAGAGCCATGAACAGGCACTATCTGTGCTACAGAAGCCCTACCTCCAAACACATCTAGACCCCCAGGCTATGTGGCCTGACCAGCCAGTCAATAATGGAATGGCAGTTTCTCCAGCAGATTCTGCACTCTAGGTGTATTAGTCAGGGTTCTCCAGAGAGATGGAACCAACAGGTTAGTAGATCAATCAAACGATAGGTAGGTAGGTAGGTAGGTAGGTAGGTAGGTAGATAGATAGATAGATAGATAGATAGATAGATAGATAGATAGACAGACAGACAGACAGATAGATGAGAAGAAATTTCTTAGGAGAATTGGCTAGCATGATTATGGAGGTTGGGAAATACCGTGAAGGCCGTGCAAGCTGGAGACCCAGGGATGCCAAAAGTGTGGCTCAGTCCAAGTCCAAGAGCCTCAGAACCAGAGATGCCAATGGTGTAACTATCAGTCCAAGGCCAAAGGCCTGAGAACCCAGAAAGCTGCTTGGTATAAATCCTCAGGTCCGAAGGCCAGAGAGCCTGCAGCTCTGATGTCCAAGGGCAGGAGAAGAAGGATGTCCCAGCTCTAGCAAAGAGAGAGGAATTCACATTTCTTCTGCCTTCTTGTTCTATCTGGGCCCAGTGAATGGATGGTGCCTGCCCACATAGAGGGCAGATCCTCCCCAGTCAGCCCACTGACTCATAGCCAATCTCCTCTGCAAACACCTTCACAAACACACCCAGAAATAATGCTTTACCAGTTCTCTAGGTATTTATTAATCCAGCCAAGTTGATACCTAAAAGTAACCATCACACCAGGCTTTGCTCTGTAACTTGTGAGCAATATAGATGCCAGGAGAGAACCTTGGAACTGAAGGAGATAAATATAGTTCAGAACGTGTAGACCTCCCTTCTCTGCCTCTGCCTGCTGCAGGCTCCTCTGAGTACATCCCATCTGCTGGCTCCTGCCCCCTGCCTAGGTCACCGCCCCACTTCTGGCCATAGTGCCTGAAGGACAAAGGTTATGTCTTATACCCCTCCTGAAACCCCAGAGAGCTGTGCATAAGCTGGTTGCTGGGTACATTTTGAATTAAAGCAGAACAAGTAAGTAACACACAAAGCTAGAGCCGTCAGGACAGGGAAAGGCTCTCTAAGGGGAAATCTGGGTAACCGCATCCTACCCGCGCAGGCACGCACAGCATCCTGGGACTCTCGCCAGGCCAGGTGAGGAGACCTTGCCTTAAGCCTGACCTGAGGCTACAGGGCACAGAGACAAAGGAATCAGGAGTCCACCTCTCTAAGGACTGGAACACTGAAGGGAGGGTCTGGAAAGTTAAGTTCAAGATGCACCTCCTGGATCTGAAAGGAGAGATCTGGAGTGAAGGGACAATGGCCGAGCCCCACTATGAGACCAGAAAGAGTATGCGAGGACAAAGCACTCAACTCAAGGGGTCTCCAGGGGCTGCGGCCCTCGGTGGAGAGGGAGCTAGTGAGCATCCCGAGCCCTGCGAAGGGCACAGCACCTGCACTGTTCCTTGAAGGGGAGGTGCGATGTAACCGGTGGAACCAAGGGATGGGAATTCCAGACCAAGGAAACCCAGGGAGGGTGCTGGCAGTCCTGAGTGCTAGGGTCCACTTTCAGGCCACTCGCTCCAGATCACTGTCTTGTATCCTTGGAGACTCTCACCACTGCACGGGCCTTGGGAGAACAGAACAGCATCACCAAGAATGCAGAAGCAACAACATCAATGTCCCTGCTCTCTGAACAACCCCACGGTTCTCAAATCCAGTGAGTGTCAGCCCGGGAGGCGTGTTTAAAACCCAGGCTGAAAGGTTCCGTCTCACAGAGATTCTGATAACGCAGGTCTGGCGCCCAGGAATCTATGTTTTAACATGTGGTCACTCCACTCTAGGCTGGCCTGGTGAACAATGCCAGTGGAAACTGCCTGTACAGAGCCGACCAGTAACAGGCACCATGTTATAAACAAGAAGACCCCAGACCACCGTGCCCACCTTAATGTGTCAGCGGATTCGCTGTAGAGACTGAAAATATCCCTTCCCCTGGGGAAGGTGGAAAAGAGCATGACAGGGGTGGACAAGAACGATGCTTCTCCGTCGGAAACTGGGATAGGGTGAACTCCCGCGTCACACATGGCCTGCAGCCTCCCAGCAGCTGACCCCAGACTGACACCAGCCTGGCTGGGCCTTTGGAGGCCTGGCCTTTCTCAGAGGAAAGACATTTTAGGAGGCAAATTTTCCATGAGACTAGTGGAGCTAAGCTGCAGGACGACTTACGCCCACTGTTTTCTTTTTCTTAAAGAGGAATGCCCCCCCACCCCAATTGTGTAAGCTTCAGACCCCGTAAGACCTAGGCCTACCCCGGCCTCAAGCAGAGAGAATCTCCCAAGTGAGCTGAAGTGAGCAACCAGGGTGACCCTCTAAGTAATTAAGAAGTCACAGGGCGGAGGGAGATTCTCAGAAACTGCCCAGGCCCACACGGTCCTCCCAGCATCCAGCTCCCTGCCCACTGGAGGACGACTGAGCGTCAGTGTTAGAAGCAGAGAGGGGTTTGTAGCTCTTGCAACGTGATGGTGAATGTTATGTGCCAGCTTTTCTGGGTCACTCAATTGACAGCCTGAACAGAACAAAATGCTGACCCTCTCGTGAGTAAAAGGAAAGTTCTCCTGCCTGACTGCCTGGAGCTCGGCCTTCAGTCTTTTCCTGCCTTCAGACTTGAACTGAAACATCAGCTCTTCCTGGGTCCGGAGCTTGCCAGCTGTTGAACTAGAACTTAGACTACTGGCTCTCCTGGTTCTCAGGCCTTGAA